ACCACTCAGTCATTCTGGGCACATCATTCTTGGATTTTTACTAGTGCGGTCCTGAGGAAGATTAAATAACCACCTTTAAGGAAATGAAGTGGGGGTGAGAAGATGGCTCAGCTATAATGTGTTTACTATGCAAGACAGAGGATCTGAATTTGTACCCCAGCACCCAGATAAAAACTGGGCATGGCAGTGCATACCTGTAACTCCAGTGTTGTAGGGAAGACAGGTGGATCCCTAGAACTCAGTGGCTGGACAGTCTTTCCACACTAATGAGTTCCAGCTACAGCAAAAACCCTATCTCAAAAAATAAGGAGGAGACAGATCAAATAAAACACATAACATGAGCATCTGGCCTTCCCAAGCATACACATACATGCACACACGTGCTTGTACACACATGCATGAATACACCCACATGAACATACACATGCAATACCCACATATACACCTGCAAAATTCTTCAAAGGGACTGGGGAGATGACTTAGTGGTTAAAGTGCTCTCCAGGCAAGCATGAGTACTGACTGAAGTTTGGATTTCTAGAACCCACATAGATATCAGATGGGTATGGCAGCCTGCCTGTAATCCCAGCCTTAGAAAGCAAAGCTGGGATCTCAGAGCAAGACGATTGGGGACACTCAGCATATTGGTGAGTTAAGGGTTTCTTCGGGAGAGAACTGCTTTTGTGAATAAGATACAATTGTGATGCAGGATGATCCCCAGCATTATCTCTGAGCCTCCATATGCATACACACCTACATACACACTCAGTCACAAACATACATGTGCCTACAAACAGGCAAGCATTCATATACATGTGTTCAAACTACACATATGCTGCGATGAAAGAAGGTAAAAGTAAACAGCAAAATTGTTTTTCATATTTAGAGAGAAGAAGGGAGGGAGAGAGGGAGGGAGACGGAGGGAGGGAGGGAGGGAAGGAGGGAGGGAAGGAAGGCAGGTAGAGAGGTTAACAGGAATTGGTTGAGTAGGGAGATGGGAAGGATCTAGGAGGAGTAAGGGAAAAACATTATCAAATTATTGTAAAGAGAAGCTTTTTTCCTTGAGAGAAGCCTTCCCGCCAGCCTGGTTCCAGAGCCGCACCAGTCCCAAATAAACACACAGGAGGCTATATTATTTATGAAGCTGTTGGCCTTGCTTGTTTCTTACTGGCTAGCTCTGACTTAAGTAATTACCCCATAATTGTTAATCTAAGTATATCTCTTACCGGAGAAGTTTCTGGGCTTCTTACCCCATGGCATTACATCTCGACTCCCTGTGTTTCTCCTTCCCAGAGTCCTCCTGGACTCCTAGTCCCACCTATCTAGATTCCTATTGGCTCAACAGTGCTTTATTGACATAATCACAGGACTTCCCACATCAAATTTTATTGTACAAAAATTAAATAAAAAGAAAAGAACAGTTATTTAAGCCCCTCATTAAGATAATTTTTAAATTATATGTACTTTTGAAGTGGACTGTTTTTAAGCAGTGGGCTTGGAATTAGAGGAAACCCAGACTGGGTGTGTAAAGATACAGAGACCCCCTGGTGAAGTGTACTCGATTGCCATTTCATGTCCAATCCATGCTTTCTTCACTGGCCCCGTGCCCATCACATTTGCCCTGCAGGTGTTTCTGCTCCTACCCACTCTCCTCTTTGTGCCATGATACTGGTCACTGAATCAGAATCCTGCCACCCCTGCAATAGTTGAACAGCAGGTTTCAGAAGAATAACAGAGTGATACTGTGGGGCACCAAAATATTTCTCAGGGTCCCAAATTAGATGAGCTTGTTCCAAGATGTACTCCATCCCATATACATGTCCTGAAGTGGACTAGATTCTCCTGTCCTCTCCCGACAGCCTAGTCCTTACCAGTCCTAAGAAGTAAATGATGAAGAACTAAGTATACTTGAAAAGCTAGTCCTGTAACTGCTATATTTCTTTGATAAAATGCAAATCAGAAATCAGGCTATTTTGAGTGAAAAGCATGAATAAATTCTCGGACATTTTCATTGTAGTGGACTTCAGTGGTCATCTGTTTTGATAAACAGCCTTTTGAAGATAAGCATTTAGTCCTTTAAAACTTGACAGCAAATAGACCTATCAAGAATCTTACAGTTGGGGCCTCCCCTTCCTGGCCCTACCGTATTAGGTGTAGTCTTATCAGAGAAGTTTCTTTTTTGCAGTACATTGTGATTAACAGAGAGAACCACAACTAGTCAGCATGAAGAGAATAAGGTACTGTGACATGCTCAACCCTAAATGGGACATTTATATCATACACCTCCTTTAAAGCTACGTGACCAGCATGGAAGAGGTGGGGAGGTGCTGTAAGAGCCTGGGGAGCAGATTTCTATAGTGACACAATATTTGCTGGACACAGCAGGGCTGTTTGTTACACACATGAACTCACAGCAGCTACAGGTAAGAATGGAGGGGGATTCTAACATACCGTTATCCTTATCCTACTTAAATAGGCAAGCTTTCTGTCAACAGATGTGTGTGCCACCCTAACTCTCACAGGAGCACAATAAGAGGAGTTCCTGGGGGGCTGCAGCTTTAGGGGTATAGTTTCCCAGAGTCCTGGAAGCTTGGGACCATGGTTGCAGAAACTTTGGACACAGGTAGGAGGGAATTCTACTGCTGTTCTGAATGTTCAAGGCTATCAAAACAAAGTTCATGATTTTGGTTGATTTGATATATACTCAAGACATGAGTCTTTTCTGTGAGATTAACTCATTTGCTAAGATTTACATGTAAATCCGTCTTTCAATTCCATTAAGACAAGATGGGCTGTTTTATGTACAGACATACTAAGGCTGCAGTTTCAGAAACAAATCAGTGTGTCATTGGGTTTGGGCTTGGTCCTCAATACCCACTTAATTGTTCTTTATTACCATCAGGAGACAAAGAGCTAAAGGCAAAGTAAAATACATGGCTATCCTTATATTAGTTGGCGTTCTCTAGAGGATAACTGATAGAATGTGTGTGTGTGTGTGTGTGTGTGTGTGTATGTGTGTGTGTGTGTGTGTGTGTGTTATTAGAATGACTTATATGCTGTGGTCCAACAAATCCCATGTGGCTATTTATCAACAGAAAGACCCAGATTTCACTAGTTGTTCACTCCATGAGGCTAGATGTCTCAGCTGGTCTTCAGTATACAACAGAATCCTGAAGAAGTGGGTTCTAATGCCAATGAAGGGTAGAGAGAGAGTGAGGGCAAGCAGGGAGAAAGCAAAAACTTCTTTCTTTCTTGTTCTTCATGAAGGCTGCTGTGAGAAGCTGGGGCTCAGATTTAAGGTAGGTTTTCCAACCTCAGATTAACTAATAATTCCTCACAGGTGTGTCCAGCAGCATAGCTATTTAGGTAATCCCAGATGTAGTCAAGTTGACAACCAACAATAGCCATTGATTCCCTCTCCCCCCCCCATGGAACCAGGAAAAAGAGAGGGGGATAAAAGGAGGGTAGAAGAAGACATGGGGGAGCAGGAAGGTTGAGTCGGGGTAAGAATAGAGGAGACTAGGATAAGAGATACTATAATAGTTGGAGTCATTATAGCTTTGAGGAGAGAGCTGATACCAGTGAGATTTCCAGAGATCTACAAGGATAACACCAACTGGAAAACTAAGTAATAGCCCCTACCTGATGATAAGGTTGATGACTACCTTATATGACATCCTAGAACCTTCATCCAGTGACTGATGGAAGCAGAGACAGATACTCACAGCTAAACACTGAACTGACCCACAGGAACCCAGTGACAGAGATGGAGGAGTGATGAGCAAAGGGGTCAAGACCATGCTGGTGAAACCCACAAAGATAGCTGACTGGACAAGGGGGGAGCTCTTGAACCCCAGACTGATGGCTACAAGGCCAACAGGGGACTGATCCAGACTCCATGAATGTAGTATCAGTGAGGAGGCCTCAGAAATCTCTGGGTCCTTGGGTAGTAGATTAGTGTTCACCATGGCATACAAATGAACTTTAGGAGCCCATTCTACATGGAGGGATGCTCTCTCAACCTGGACACATGGGGAAGGGCCTAGGTTCTGCCCTGGATGAAATGACAGACTCTGGAGATCCCCCTAAGGAAGGTCTCACCCTCCCTGGGGAAAGATGTGGGGATTGGACTGGAGGTTGGGGGGGTGGGGGTGGGAGGGAGAAGTGGGGGAGCTGGGATTGACATTTGAAGCATGCATGTTTCTAATTTAAATAAAAAGAACAAGGTTACCAAAAAAAGAGATAGCGGGACAAGCATAAAAAAGTAAGGCACAGCATTCATAATTAATAATATCCACATCATGACTTGAAAAAAAAAAAGAATAGCCATTGAAGTCTTTATTGGTAAAGACTTCCAAATGCTTCCAAAAAGTTGCAAAGTAGCATTTCAGCCAGCAAAAACCAGGACACCCTTTCAGGAAATCCCCTTTGAAAGATGTCTTTAAGAATATGGGTTTAGGGCCAGGCAGTGGTGGCGCACGCCTTTAATCCCAGCACTCGGGAGGCAGAGGCAGGCGGATCTCTGTGAGTTCGAGGCCGGGCTGGACTGATAGCCTCCAAAACAATACAGAGAAACCCTGTCTCGTAAAAGCAAAACAAAACAAAAAAAAAAGAATATGGGTTTAGGTCCTGGAGAGATGGCTTAGCAGTTAAGACCCCTGGCTGCTCTTCCAGAGGGTCAGGGTTCAATTCATGGCAGCTCAGAATTGTCTGCAATTCCAGTTCCGAGAGATCTCTCATACAGACATACATGCAGACAAAACACCAATGCACATAAAATAAAAGTAGTTATTTTAAAAAGAATATGGGTTTGGGGGAGGAATAAAAACCTAGAACCTTATAACTCATGTGATAGGAGGATGATCCTAATATTAACGGCCCTATCCCCCCCCCAACACATACCTATTATGAAAATGGTAGTGAGTGAACCTAATTTCTTGCATGTTCTATGTGGATTCCTAAGAGATTTTTTTGTTTTGTTTTTTATGTTTTTTGGCACCCAGGAACTAAATAGCTTTAATTACTTGGATCTGTACAGACTCGCTGACCTCTTTCACCTCACTTTGTTGGAGAAGGCGGTGATTGATTTCCTAGTGAAGCATCTCTCAGAGCTCCTGAAGAGCCGCCCAGAGGATGTCCTCACGCTGCCCTACTGCCTGCTTCAGGAGGTGCTGAAGAGTGACCGCCTGACTTCCCTGAGCGAGGAGCAGATCTGGCAGGTAAGGGCACACTGCCTGACCTTGGAGAAGCATGATACGATTAGAAAGGGAAGGACTTAGGTGCACCAACCATTATTTGATGAGGCTTAGCTGTTGGATGTGTTGAAGTTCTGCTCCCTTGGTGGGCAAGTCATTGGTTGACAGCCACCAGTCTGTGGTTCATCTTGGGATGAGACCAACACTATGGCTTCTTCAAACCTGGGTAAGGCAGAAAGGGGAGGGATCTTCTCTTGAAATCAAAAACGTGTCTTAAGCTGAATATGAGAAGAAGGCATTGTGAAACAATTTAATGCATTTCTAAGCCATTGAAACAAAAGGAATTTGGGGTTTTGGGGAAAAACAGTCTTAAGTATTTCTTTGAAAAATATTTTAATGAGAAAAACTTAGAAATAGTTGTTAGTAGTTCAAATAAACTTTTTCACTAGAGTTTTTAGCTAATTTGTAGATACCTTATTAGTTAATGAGTTTTAAAGTTGCTAACTTTAATGTTTTTGGTTTGGGTGAAGGACTTGTCTACAAGTCAGTGATATGAAGGAACAGGTAAATTAATATAAGTGATCATGGGTAAACACAGGTGTTCAAACATTGTTGTATTCTGGAATCTTTGGGATTTTTAAAATACTTGGCTTGGAATCCATTCCAAAAATTGCTAAGAGCATATAGTGTGCATGTTTAGGGAATTTGGAACTTTTTTGAAATTTGTTTCTTTTATTTTTAAGAGTATAATATAAATACATAATTTCCCCCTTCCCTTTTCCATCCCCACACCCTCCCATATACCCTTTGTTCTTTCTAATCTGTGGCTTTATCCCCATTAATTGTGGTTACATGCATATAAGTATATGTATATACATATATATTCCTAAATGCAATTCACTTGCTCTGTATAATGTCACTTGTATGCTTGTTTTCAGGACTGACCATTTGGTATTGGATAACCATTTGGTGTGCTCTTCCCTAGGGGAGACAATTTTTCCTGCTCTCAGCATTCCTTGATTGCATGTTTTGTAGGGTTGAGGCCTTGTGGGTTTTCCCCCTCCCTCCACTCTGGAATGTGTGTTGTCATCCTTGTCTGGGTGGCCATGTTGGTGAGACTATATGGATGTAGCTTCTGATGTTACTAGGAGACATCATTTTACCAAAAGCTTCCTAATCCTGTGGCTCTTACAATCTTACTGCCTCCTCTTCCAAAATGTTCCCTGAGCATTAAGTGTATGAATATTTGGTAAATGTATATCCATCAAGACTGGGATACTCCACTCTGCATTTTGATTGGTTGTAGTTTTCTATAGTGGTCTCCATCTTGTGTGAAGACAAGTTTCCTTGATGAGGGGTAAGGAAAACACTTATCTGTAGGTATAAGGAGAAATATTTAGTGTGTAGTTAGGGATTATGTTGGTTTAGTAAAATGGTGGTGATAGGTTCACCTTAAGATTCGTGACTTTCCTAGCCTTGTGTTGGTTTCCAGTACCAGGCATGATTTTCTTGTTGTTGAGTAAATCTTACATATTATTAGAGAGTTCTTGGCTACTACCAAGGTATGTGTCCATAAATAACTGCACCCTTAAGATTAACTTACCACACTGGTCATTGTGTGCTTCATAAATATCGTATCTGGGCAGTACTGTTGGTTGCTTCTCTCCTTTGGAAATGTGCATAGTGCCTTCCGGTGCCATGAAAGTTTGTTCTTAAGGAGGAGGTATTCAGGTCAGTTCCCACTGAGGGGCCTCTAGTTTCTGTGTTTGTAGTTCATGGTGTCTTTAGCATTAGGGGCCTTAACCTTCCACATCTGGGGAGGCAACCAAGGGCAGTAGAAAAGTCCTATAAGTTTTGGGAGTCTTTTGGACAATTTCAATCAACCACTCCAAAGAGGGCTTCTTATGCCTGGTATCATGGCTTTTGCTAGATGTTCTTTGGTTCTTAGAGGGGGCATTGTCAGCCCAGATGAGAAAATTACTTTAAAACTATACGTGTGTGTGTGTCTTGACTTATGTGCTGTATTGTTTTTTAAGACAGAACTAATAGTATGATTCCTTATGACTTTTTCTGATTCCTTATGGTATTTTCCCCCTCCTTCCTTTGCATTTATATCCTTTTCCATTCCCCGATTAGTGTCCCCGTTTCCCATTTCCCAGATCAGATCACGTATTCCCTGCTTGCTATTCCCCTTTCTATTGCTCCCTCAACCCCTAAAACAACAATATGCCTTTTTGCTTTGAGAAACATTGCCTTATTGCAATAGATGGATGTTTAGAACTCAAATGAAGCAAAGTTCTTCCTATACTATAGTAAGAGGAAGAAAATCTCCCTCTTTAGTTCATTATGCATTCACTGCAGCTTTTACAAGCCCTTCCTTTTCCCCTGACTATAGAATCTTTTCACATCCTGTCACTGTTTTGTCTAGGGGGCAGGCAGGATGGTTTTTGTTTGAAAGTTGATTATTCCATTTAAATCCTCTTCTGCTCATCCCTAGTGACTGTCCTTGGATACTGCACCTGAAGGCTTTGGCACAGACAGCCTGTTTCCCCTCCTCCCTTCACTGTCTATCTCATTCTACAGTATTGTCTACACATCTTGATACTTGGAATGCTATGCCTGAAGGATGATATGAAAAGTGACTATCTTGCACAAATACTAGCAAAAGTTCAGTGCTCCATTGGTGGATGAGACCATAAGCTCCGAACATACCAGGCATATTCAGGGAGTTATGTTTAGTTTTTGTTTGATTGTTTGTTTTACCACTGGTTAGATGAGACATCGAATACCTGATTCTACTGATGTATAATGTTCCTGATACCTGGCTTTCTTCTTTGAACTGTAATCAGCAGCTGTCCTTTTCATTACAAACAGTAAGAGACAAGGGCCAGTCGGGTCGCAGATATTTGAAACCTTATTGACTTACCAGAACAAGAGGCCTGAGGAGAGATTGTCACCATTTCCATCTTCTGACAAGCAGGGTGAAGGCTCTGTACTTGGCTCCAGTTTACAGAGCAGAGCCACCTTCAAATCTAAGTCTGTTGATACCAACCAAATCCCTCCACTAGTCCACAGTCTTCATTTAAAAAGAAGGTGCTCGTGTTTGCTGCTTCCTGGCCATCCCTGGGAATGTTTATTCAGACAGTGGTTGCAAGTACAGGGATTGCAATAATCCACAGCTCTCCCCTATCATATAAAGCATCAGGATTTACTATGGCCAGCTCAGAGCGTGAGGTAACCAAATCCCTTTACTTCATTAAAGGAAAAAGAAACAGACTAGATTCTGTACTTTTTTTTTCTACCAAGATTGAGATTCGAGGCCACCCATTCTTGTGGCATCTTTCTGTTATTGTGGCATGGTTGAAGGCACTGCCAGAGATCAACACAGTAATCCGAACACCAGGACAATTCCATTCTGTCTTCTTAGAAACTATCACAATTTCCTCTCTAAAGGCTACTAGCATTATGAAACAGAATTTTAGAAACTGGTTGCTGCAGGCAATACGATAGCTTTTTAAACTTGATCACCAAAAAGGAATTAAAAGACTCCCATAAATATTATCAATCCAGGCATTCAGTGGGCAATAAGAAATTGTTTTTGCTTTATCTTAGTAAATAAGTAATTCCCTCATACTCAATAGAGAAAAATCAAATCAGACCAACTATAGTGCCTCAAGTAGAGTTAAGTTCATCTTTTTTTGCTGAGGTTATACTAGTAATGCAATATACTATGGAAGAATCTAATATTCAGCCCAGGGTAAAGATTGGGTCTGCCAGAGGATTACTGTCAGGGTGCTTTATAGGAGTGAAACTTGACGGACAGGCTGGAGACAGATCTACAGAATCTCATTAAACTGCTGAATTGTTCATTACAGAACGTTCTCACTGTAATAAAGTGCTCATTGACTTTGACAAATCCCCATCCCATGTCTTAAAGAACAGTGAAGAAGGGGTGCTGAGGAAGAGAAAGGAAATAGGCACAAAGTAGGGTGGGTAATGGAAACACGCATGAGGGGTAGTGCCGTTTGATTAATATGTGCAACATAGTTTAGGTGAGACATAGTCAACACATGGGTTTACCCAGGTGGCTGTTTCACTACATACTGATAATGTAATCTGGGACAATCCGTTCTTCAGAGGAAGGTCTACTTTTCATTATTTACCAGTTTGGCTCTGAAGGCCTGTCATAAGAAGCATTAGATTATTCCCACCGTAAAAACTAATTTATTTACCTTTTTCTTTTTCTGTCCCTGCCCTTGATAAAGTATGCTCCAACCTGCAGTGAACATTTTGTGAATCCATGGTCCTCCTAAATCTCCGCAAAATTATTCTTTGTTTCTGTGTTTTCTTTGTCCATTTGATGTGCGTGGTGGAGGTAGGGACTATGTATCCCCAGCTGGCCTGGAGCTCACTTTATAGATGGGGCTAGCCTTGACCTCACAGATCCGCTTGCTGAGCTCCAAAATATACAGATTAAAGGTATTCACTGCAATACTCGGACTGCTTGATCTTGTTAAACTTTAAGTCTCTTCTTTTGCACAGGATTTCTTAATCTGTCCCAGAAAGATTTTCTTCCTTTAGCCAATCATTACTTGGTCAGTTGGTTAACTTCATTGTGTTTTCAGAGGAAAGAGATATTTGAACCACAGTCATATCTCAGATGTTTTATGACCTAAACGTCCTTTAAATGTATATTGTTTGAAATTCTCCTTAGTATAGCTCAACAATTTGGTTTTGTGTTTTGAGGAGTATGCTTTCTCAAGTTCCAAATGAAAGTCACCAAATTACTAGCGTCAAAGACAGAGGGAAGACAGCGGCCAAAATGAGCAAGTGAACACAAAGGATCTAGGAGCTCGGTGGGTCTCACTGCATTACGTGGCAGATCTCTTACCATCTTACTTTGCTTTCAGGGAAGTCAGAGCTTTTAGCACTAACTCTGGACTTTGTTTCAGTAGGTTACTGTTGAATATCTCTTGCTGAGCTCTACCTGAAGAGTCCTAAAGTCTCTGCTTTAGGTCTGGCCA